AGCCATCAAGAAGAATTATCCAAGATAAAGGAAGACATGAAGAACATATGAGCATCCCAACTAGAAGAGATAATTGAGTTCAATGCTTTATGCCCTCACCCCAACTTTGACCTTCCTGAGAAAGTTAAAATCCTAAAATTTCACAAGTATGATGGATCTAGTTGTCCTAGAGCTCACATCCTCATTTATTGCATAGATATGTTTCAACTTGGATAATGATAGATTGTTAGCCTAACAATTTTTCAGGAGCCTAAAAGGAACAACTTTGGATTGGTATACCCAACTCAACCTAGACACCCGGAAGATATAGAACAAATTAGTAGAACAATTTATCACGAGTTTTGATTTCCAACCATTACCAACATGGGGTGATCTAGAGCACTTTACTCAAGGATCATATGAAAACTTCTCCATGTATTTGAAATGATGGAAAATCATGTCTATCAAAGTGAAGGAACCCTTTCTAGAGGGTGAAGCAATTAAGATTTTCATGAAGTCACTTAGAGAACCCTTCTATTCATTAATGATAGGATGAGTTTTTCAAGACTTTCATCAATTGCAAGAGGCTAATGCACATATCTTTTTTTCTTTAGAAAAGAAAGAAGTTCAAATAAGCACAAGAAAATCCGCATAGCATCCACAAATCCACTTAAAGAGCCTACTGTAGTTGTTACCATATATCAACATTCCTCTTCAATACAGAAGCGTCAAACTTTAATTAATCATTTCAAAAGAAGAGTCAAGAGACGATTCACTCCCCTTCCTCCGCAATCTCAATTGCTTATTCAACTAATCGAGAACAAATATCTAACACTTTTGTCACCAAAACCAATTCTTAGTCCTATACTGAAGAACTTCAAGTTAAACGAACATTGCGCTTATCACTAAGGACCGGGGCACTCGATGAACAATTGCACAATTCTCAAAGGCAACATTCAAGATCTCATCAACGTCGGACGGTATCCCTTAAGGCATCACTAAAATATATAACCAAATTTATAGCCTTTTTGAGAACTACAACTGGTCTGATCCCTTATAAGGAAATAAATGTAAAACCTTAGGACTCTCAAATAAATACTTTTTAGCATCCTCTCCTAAAAAACCTAGGCTTTCTACCCAGAAACCCTCTAGATACGGACCCTTATAGTTTAGAAATTCCATGCATGGCTGCATTTTATCTAAAGTCTAATGCTCCCAATAGGAAAGATGACAACACCTACTAAAGACTGAAGAACTTCAAAAAGCAATGAGCATGTTGACCTTCAAAGTTGATTGGCCAATGTCTCATACAGGAGAAACGCCACCAGTTTTTACACCATCATTTCTCTCAAATCCTACACCATCTAAGAAAGAAGTGAAGAAATTTAGCTCGTGACCTTGCCAACCTTCCCAACTTTTACCCATCTTGGTCGAGAAATGATACTTTCATTTATTGTCTTGGAAACTTCCTACGGGTCCAAGGAATTTCAACCAGAAGGCTTACTGTGCCTATAAGAACCATGACATGAGGCTAATGAATGCTAGCAATTGAAATATGCTATTCAACGCCTCATTAATGATGGCCAATACAACCCTGGGCTCGAGCTTGTGGGCATGCTACCGCCTAAAACACATTTGCATTGAACTTTGTCCTTCTTTATGCCTTAAATCTTAGTGTACTCAATTTTTTTACTTAATGAAAGTTCGTTTTGTGTTTTTTCGTCAATCTATGTTTGTATCCTAATGCTTACTCCCAACAAAACAATAAATTTGACCGAGTCCAATTTATCCTTCTAGTATATCTAGACTGATGATCGAAAACTTGTAACAAGTCCCACCGATATGTTCTTGAGAAAAGTTGGTTGTTGAGTGGAAATTCAAAGAAGAAAATGTTCAAAGAATGGGACAACACTGGGTGACAGGCATTGAAGGCATAAGGGCAATTGAGTTGACTTGTAGTAGCAACTACTCATGAGTTAGCATAAATCAAAGACATCAAAACCACTATCAATTGTTGATTGATTAAAGAAAGGACTGGAGACCATTTTCAATTGATCATTTCCCTTGATCCCTTATCATTCATTTAGGCAATAGTCAGCCTGTTCGAAAGCAAAACAAAACAAACAAATAAACAAACAAACAAACGAGACAGTTAAGCTAGTAAGGCTAAACATCAATTCTCTGATTTCATTTTGCCCCCATCTCATTTTTCACCTCAACGTAAAGTCTTCTTGATCAAGAAAGATGTATGGCTCATGGCATTGAAAGACATGAAAAACATTTCTCATCTAAAGGGAATGAAAGAAAAGAGAAGCCAAACAATAGATCATTCTTTCATTGGAATAAATAACATCAAGATTACATATTTCATTGTTCTAGAAACAGCCATATACCCCAAGAAAAGCCTACTGGATGCCCAACATACCATGCATCAAACAGTAATCTACTTGCAAAATGACTCACATCTAAATTTTGAATCCTAGTTTCAAACAAAGACACTATTCTAGGTTTATTGACTCGAACAAGACCAGCAACTTGCCTTTGCAGCTTGGGGTGACATCAACCAATATTTTCATTGTAGTTGTTTGCATCAGCCACATAATTTGGACACATTTCTTCCATATCAGCAATCTTTTTCCCTTTGTTTATTTTATCAATAATTTGGGCTCTTGGGGAAGAGAATACTAAGAAATCACTTTTGTCCTATTCATCATTTTGAATTTCCCACTACTGATCAAGTAATGCTACAATTGCTTTGCATCTTTCACAAATTCCTCATCATCTTCCTCAATATCATCAATCTCACCATCACCATCATTTCCTTCAATCATTTTCTCATTCTCTGATTTGTCCTCAATGTTCACTTTCTTAATGCCCATTACATCAAATACATTTGAATGTTCAAAATCATCAGTGATAGTGATTTGGTTTTTTGCCACACATTTGAGCTTGGGGTGTGGAGGGACAAGGGAGGTATGGCCTGGCCGTAACATTTTAATTATGGCTAAAGCTTTATCTTTATCCACAAGGTCTTTTTCCCTATCTTTGAACCAGGTGAACTTATGTCCCTTTCCCTCATTCCTCAACTCTAGATTTCTGCCAAATTTTGGTCTCTTTGTGGTATACTTTTTTCTCTTCTTTATTGCATTCCAGCCCTCACCAATGATGGTGGGGCAATTATAGGACTTGTGGCCTAGGAACCCACATCCTATGCAAAGGTCATTAATATTCTCATACATGATGTTGATAGTGTGTTCTATCCCTCCTATATTTATTAGGATTTCCCGAATTAATGGACGTTTCAAATTTACAATGACACATGCTCTAGGAAATAGAGTTCTATATCTCTTTTAAGTGTTCTCATCCATTTTGAGAACTAGTCCCACTTGTCAGAGAACATTGCCCAATTTTTTCAAAGTCCAACATTCCATAGGGAGGCCTAGGAGCCTAAACCATATATTGGCTTCATCAATGGTGGCAATCAAGAGGTTGAAACCCTTGGAGTTGAGTGAGTTCTTATTTGTTCCTCACAATGCATGCTTCACATCGACCTCAAAGCATGTTTCAGCCATGCAATGGGAACATCTTCCCATGAATAAAAATTTACAATTACAGATGTTCCAGATACACAACTGAAACATACAGGGGGAAGTTGTATGAGGTGCAATCTGTGAGGAGCAAATCCTAACTCGAGTTGCGCAGTGACTTGGACATTTGGAAAGCCCAAGTTGACTTTCTGAATTTTTAGTAAATACAACTTTGGTGTTCCTGGGTGAAGCCTAGCTCTAAACACTAGAAACGCATCCCAAAAGCCCTCTCAAATAGCCATTTAATCGGGATAAACTCACCGACTTGAAAATTGCCCTGGTTATTAATCAGGACCAATGCTTTAAAAACTGACTCGAAATCGAAACCGCTTTGGCCACTGGCTTTTGGGTCGGTGGTTTGACCATCTGGTTGGAATGGACAACCTATCCTAAATTAAAAAATAAAAAGTAAAAATAATTAAAATGGAAAGACCAAAAATCATGGTCTGGGACTCTGGGTCGAGTAGATTGATGGTTTGATTGCTCAAACCAATGATTCGCTAACCAAGTCAATGGTTTTTGGCCAAAAAAAGGGTTAAGAGTGAAACATAACCGATTGCTTGGATGGTTCTCTAGCTGAATGGTCCAAATGTCTGGGTCAACCACTATTCAAAAACACTGACGAGGATAATCAGGTTTGACTTGATTAAAATCAATTATACTTGAACTAAAAAAACCTCAATTATATTGACATTTATAATTATTTATGTTTATAAAAATTTGAAAACTTAAATTTTGATAATATAGCCTTAATAAATAAAAATGACGATAAAATAGTAAATTGTATTTGTTAATTAATCAAAAATTTTAACCAAGTTATCTTATATATTATTTATTTAAGTTTACCCTTTTAATTAACACAATAATCGATTTTTTTTAATAATTTAACAAACACAATAATCGATTCTTGTCTTAAAACAGAAAGAACCGGTGCCGTTCAGGACAAAATCACGTAACCAACCGATATAATCGGCTCGGTCGGGTAAGACCGACCCGGCACAAGCTTCTATTCTGTTTCTGTCTGAGGAGGACCCAAATATGTACTTTTGTGTTTTGTCGATGTGTTCAAATTACTTACTTTCTAAAATATCTTATTTTGCCACGTGTGATCTATGAATGCATCTCATCGATCATAGACTCAACGACAAAAGTATGATTGTAATTGTGGGTCCCACACATAGAAAGGACACACGTAGTGAGCAAACACTTGCACACGTGTAGTGGCACTAGTAACGTTACGTCACCACCAACCACCAGACAAATTTGTATAGACCACGGCGGTGGGACCTACGAGAGGAAACCCTCCACCGACGAGCTATCGAAGGTTCTCCTTAAACCTCGAATGGATATTCCAAATTTTTTTTTTTTATTTTTTTGGGTAGAAAAATGGAAATGGATAATTCTATTTTTAAGCCTTGTACTCTCTGTGGTCTGTACGTTCTTTTATTTTTCCTTCTTTCGCTTTTTGATGTTTTTTTTTCCTCGTCTTTCTATTTCTATGTGCTGAAGTAGGAAGAGGTATAGCTGTAAAATTTCCCAAAACCTCATTTCATCCTTATCTCCTCGCTCTCATTATCGATGGGGGGGCCCTGGCGATCTAGGGCTTCTTCGTTTTGCTTATGGTACGTGCATCGTATGCTTTCTTCCTACTGGTTTTGTTTTGGGTGATTTTCTGAGTTCTAGTTTTTTTTTTTTGGTTATCTATCAACAAAAAAAAAAAAAAAAAATCTAGGATTGAGGTTTGATCAACAGTTGCTGTATTTCTGGTTTTTTTTTTTTTTTTTATCTCTTTTCCTTTTCTATCCGCCTGGTGTTAGCTTGGCGATTGTTTAAAATAGCTACATTTTGGTTTGCCGGGGTTGGGGAGGGTTTGATTTTAGCCCAGCTTCTTTGTCCTGTGAGGATTCTTTTGAAACTACACTTTAAGCTGGAGCATGTTTTCTAGGGTTTCCAGGCCTATCTGTTCCTCTAAATGCAGGATTTTCTTCTCCATGCTGCGTGGTGCGCTTGAGAGCTCCATTTTCAATATAATTTATTGATTTCTTCTCCCTTTCCTCTAAATGCAGGATTTTCTTCGAAGGGTTTGATTAGTTTATGAACGAGATTCCTTGAGTCAAATGTCCTATAAAAGCGACATTCTTAAAAAAAAGGACTTGGAAATCGTTTAATGTGTTTACTGAAGAATTATGAGCCTTTTGCATTGATCGCAGGGTTGCTTGATTTCATGATTTAGAGAGTGGGAGAACAGCGCGCAAGTAGAATAGATAGGGTATGTTTGATGGATGATATGGCTTTGAGAGACAGAGATCATGCAAGTGATCTTGAAAGTGGTGGTACTACTAGCGAAGAAGGAAGTAAAGAACCTATTTCAGGCATTGGACAAGTAAAGAGGTTGTTGAACAGGGTTTGGAGTGGTTCAGTCAGAGGTGAAGATGGCATGAATGCATGCCGTACTTCGAACTCTGGTGAGTTTTCCACCGAGAATCAGGGGTTTGTGACAGACAAGAATTCTGGAGGGGAAGAATCGGTCGGCCTCCCGGAAAAGAAAGTGGCCAAGGAGAAACGTAAGAAACCAAGGTCTAAAAAACCTCCAAAGCCTCCTCGACCACCCAGAGGTCCATCTTTGGATGCGGCTGATTTGAAACTGATTAAAGAGTTATCGGAGATTGCTATGTTGAAGAGGGCGAGAATTGAACGGATGAAGACTTTGAAGAAGATGAAAGCAGCTAAGGCTTCATCATCGAATAGCACTTTGTCTGCTATGCTCATCACTGTTCTCTTCTGCATTGTAATTATTTTGCAAGGTAATCCCCTCTTTTAGAATTTCAATTTAACTTATGTACTTCTTCTTTGTCTTATTTTTTGCTTGGGGTAATTTGAGTTCAGTCCCCCTCGGAATTCCTAACGCGTTCGTACAGTGCGGGTCAGTGTTAAAGGGGAGGGGGAAGATTCCCAATTCACGGGGNTGCGTAAATACATTTGAGAAACCAATAAAACAAATCTGAGGGGACTGAACTCTAAAAAGGCTTTACTTTTCTTAATTTCATTTAGTTAGGATTTGACTCTTGACTTGTGATTGCAATGTGGCATTGCTCATAATTGATCTTTACTGTATTTTTCCTACTTTTTGGTTAATCCAAATTTAATATTTAAAGACTTATATACCTGCTGTTTAGCGTTACAGAAAAAAAAATTGTCCATCTTCTACTATGATTGTGCTGCTGTTACTACTTTTCAACTGTGAATATGATCTGATGTTGCACTTAGTACATGCAATATTGGAGCTATCATACATTTATCAAAAAAAAAAAAAAAAGAAAAAAAGAAAACATTGGAGCTATCATATGATTATCCTCGTCTTTGCTGGATATTGTGGTCTGGATCCTGCATATACTGTTCAAAGCTTGTGGTATTATTGTTCTGATCACATCCGTTATTCTTACAGTTAATATGGATATTATAATTTTCCATTATGGGCTACTTGATCTACTATGCTTAAGAAACACTAACATGTAACAGTTTTATATTGTATTTTCTTACTATTGACTATTAATAGATGAATTATTTATTAATCAATAAATTATATTTGTATCTAACAATCTTTGTAGTAGCTCTGATTCAATCCTCCATAACCTTCACAAGAGGCCTGCTTATGTATTGCATGCTCTATTGCAAATTGGTGAGAGTTGTTAGTATATTGTAGTTGTTTTTTTTTTTTTTTTTTTTTATCAGTAAAAGTGCTTTTATTAATAAAGAGATATGAAAATTAGTACAGAGATTGAGTAGCCTCGGCTACCCCATTTTCCTTTAAGATTCCATCTAAGATTTGCTTTACATCCTTACAACTGAGCCCAGAAACAGTGTTCCCTATTAGCCCCTTGTTTCGCTAGCTGGTCCACAAATCCATTTGCTTCTCTTGGAGTCCACTGGTATGATAATATCTGCATATCCTTTGTAATATGATTAAGTTTCTTGATCTTGTTTCTGAATACCCAAGGAGTTTTCCCATCTTGCTTTAGCCAACTTATAACTACTTTGGAGTCACCTTCTACAACCAACTTCCTGATCCCTATTTCCATGGCTTGTTGTATTCCGAAGACCACTGCCTTTAGTTCAGCTGTAATGGGGTCTCCCCAACCAATAGGGCTCGAGTACAGCCCCACTACTGTTCCCCTGTCATCTCTTATGACCCCACCAATTCCAGCCACACCTGGGTTGCCAAAGCTGCTCCCATCAAAGTTTAATTTAAGGAGTCCAGATTCATGAGGATCCCAACTTCTTACTTCCTTCTCTTTTGCAGATGACAAGGATGCTACAGTCTTCCAGTTCCTGATTATATCATCCATAGTAAAGTCTGAAAATAAGTCCATAGATTTCACCCATGAAATTACTTTAATCATAATCCCTTCTATCAGTAGATCCTTACACCTTTTCTTCCCTTCAAAGATTCTCTGATTTCTTTCCTCCCATAACATCCACAGTACTGCTGCCCGTGTGCATCTCCATAGACTTCTTCCTCTTCTTTTTGGCCATTTGAATGTGGAGGCATCAAACAGTCCCCCCAGGCGCACCGGGGTATCCCACCTGCATCCAAAGAGAAAAAAAACCAATCCCAAATGCTGCTAGCTACAGGACAGGAAACAAATGTATGATGAGTAGTTTCACCATTTGATTCACACAAACAACACCAATTAGGAGAAAGGCACCAGCCAGGCCTCTTCCTCTACATCAGATCACAGGTGTTAATTGCACCGTGGTAGACCTCCCAGCAGAAAGCACCCACTTTAGGGGGAATAGGGCAACACCAGACTTCTCAGACTGGGAATTGGACCCCAGGGTGATTAGAGGTCAAAGTTTTGAAAAAGGATGCACAACTGAACACTACATTGTAGTTGATTTTTGGGTGGAATCTTTCAACTGGTTGCTGTTAAATGAAACTCATTATTTTTTCCCTGGTTTATGACATTATGCAACTTGGGTTTGAAGTTTTCCTATCCAAACTTCTTTGCTTAGATTGCAATTGACAGGACATTGACATGGTTTGAGCAAATTCTATTTTTTGACAAACAAGGGACAGGAAGAGAGAAGATGCACCCATTTATAGTGATAGATATGAAGAAATAGGGGTACTTTTGTCATTATAAAAATGCACTGATTGATTACTATTAGGAGTATACCCCCTTTATCAAAATTGGGATCTGCCCAAATTACAATCCATTATCATTAACTTTTAATAATGACTACATAAATTTGGGTTTCCTTTTTCCCTAGTTCAAGTGTCTAATACTAATAGAAGTTTGTGCCCAAATTGCATTGAATGGGTCCTTTTTAGGTGGAATTTGATAACTTCTAAAATAGGTAATAAAGCTGAATGCTGATAATATTTCAATTTTAAAATGTGCTATTTGAATGATTATTTTATCCCCAAGGCCTAGTTCCTTTGCCAGGAATGTGTTCACTTGGATAAATGCATTTATCCATGTTCTTTTGTCAGAAAGTTTTCTTGGGTAAGTGAGACAATTTCCCTTACCCATTTTCTTTTGCAGCAACTACTTTCTTGGTTGTTTTTTCTCTGTTACCATTTTTACCCTTGAAGCCAGTTTAATGGGGTAATATGGGCTCTAGACATTCAATCCCACTACCACTTTTACCCTTGTGCCAACATGAACAGTTTTGGTATTTTTTTTAAGCCAGTTTAATGGGGTAGATGGGCTCAAATGGGTTCTAGTTATCCAATCTATGCTTAGCCCATGTCAGTGGCACAGTGAAATTCACTGGAGAAGGTTTCAACAGTTGCAAATGGATATTGTTTATTAATACTAAGCATAATAAATAGTTCTGCTTGTTGTATTTGGGAATGGTTCTGCTCTCTCTTTGGTTGCAGATGGATCTCTCCTGTTAGTTTGGAAAGTCTCTTTAGCCCATCCTTTGTGAGATGCACAAAAAGAAAGGGCAGAATTGTAGGGAAGTGTACGAGAGCAGCGACCATGTGGACCATTTGGGAAGAAAGGAACTTAAGAATTTTTGAGGACAAAGAAAGAAACAAGGAAATAATCTTGGAGACTATTACTGTTTGTGTTGCTCATTGGGTGAGGACTTTGAAGCTATTCTCTGAATGTTTCAATGGAGGACTTTTTCCGAAACTGGAGGTCGATTGCCTTTTCTTCTTCTAGGAAACAAAAGGTCTTGGGGGTTTGGTCCCCCCCAAAGTGAAGGCTGGATTAAACTTAACTTTGATGGAAGTGGTTTTGTAATCTGGATCCCTCTGAAATTGGAGTAATTGGGGATGGGGGTGGGATCATTTGTGGCTTGTTTTCGGAGCTATTGAGTATTGAGCAGGGTGATTTAGTGAGAGCTGAGCTCTTGGCAGCTATTGTTTGGGTGCAAAAAGCCAAGGAAATAGGGATTACAAGATTAATAGTAGAAGGAGATTCAAAAATAGTCATTGGCTGGCTAAAAAAAGAGAAGGGGTATTATTGCAATTCAAAATGATCTCAGGCAGTTCAAGATGCTGTCAAGACATGCAAATCCAGTTCAGTGTTTTAAAAGGTGTGGGAGGCATACACCTGGAGGCACGCCTCCAGGCGAGGTGCCCCCAAAACGCCCTGAGGCGTATGCCAGAGGCGCTGATACCTCTGAGGCGTACGCTCAGGTGCAAGAGGCATACACCTCATACACCTTTTTCATGAGGTGTTCTAGAGGCATACACCACATGCGCCTCATGCACATTAAATATAAAAAGATAAAAAAAAGGAAAGGAAAGGGAAGGGAAAGAAAAAGAAAGAGAAGAAACAAAATACAAAAGAAAAGGGAAGAAAAGATAAGGGGAAGGAAAGTGGGCCGGGGGAAACTTCATTCTTCTTAATATAAAAGTTTTTTATTAAAAATAAAGAAAAGTGAGATCCTCCTTCCTCTTCTTCCTCCTCATCCCCCTCTTCTTAAGGAGGCTTACGCCTCCTTGTGTTCTTGAGGCCTCTTATGTTCTGAACTATGCCTCATGCCTCTAGGTAGTGGAATGCCTCGCGTCACGCCTCCACATTTTAAAACATTGAATTCCAGTTAAGATGGGTTAGGAGGTCTGCTAATGGTTTGGTGGATGGCTTAGCTAAACAAGGAGTGAATAGACATCATTTGTTTTGGGCTCAATGTTAGTTGGGTAGTGGGACTCTCTGCTGTATTAGGTGTTACCTCTAACAACTTGTTGTCTATTCTTCCTTTTAAGATCTAATAAATCTCTTTAAGTTGCTGATCATATATATATATATATATATTAAGCATAAGAAATTTATATTAGCTGTCTCAATAGATTTTTGAGTTATGAGCACAATATACGTCGCATTGATTTATCTTTGACCATTATATGAGACATCTATTGTTATGTTGAATCATTGGTTACATGGAAATGAAATTTGCAACTGTGTTTTTATTTTTGTTAACTCTTTGACACCACCTAAAACAACAATAGTTCTTCTCGTATCTATTTTTGGTAAGACTTAAACCTTCCTGAAGTTTTCTCATAAATACTGAAACCTCCCCTCACTTTTGAAATTGAACTAATACATCCCTGTCTGATGATGTCATCAGACAAAGACATCTTTAATAATCTGTCCAGATTTGTTAGCATGTGATATTACATGTTTCTAGCTGTTTTTTTAAACCCAAAATTTACCCTTTATGCTCAATTGACCATAACTCAAAAAACAACTGAGAAATTTCAATATGATTTGTCTATTTTCCAGAGAAGAAACTTAAATATGGTTTATGTTTCATATGCCACTAGATTGAAGTGAAGTTCAAAACTGTTGGATATTTGGTTTTTGTTTTTCTTCTCTCGGTTTTCTGCTCTTAGTTTTCTTCGCAGAATCAGACCAGATTCTTTGAATCTTTTCTTGTTTTTATGTGAGCTTTTGGTTTAAGCTTAACAAATAGGTCCTATTTCTTATTCTTCTTTATGCTCACTTTTTAAAACTTAGAAGTTTGCTCCAATTTTCTATAAGCGGGCTTTGCTTAGAACTGGCTTTTGAATTTGGTCTTCTATACTGAATTTTCTCATATTTAAACTAAATATAATTTTGATACTTATTCTAGAAAGGAGATGTTTTTCCTTTCTAGTTATTTTTCTATTTTGATACCATTATTTCTTTTTGTTTACTTTCTTTTTCCAAAAAGCAGTGAATTATGTTTCTTATTCCATGTTGAGGACTTACGTCATGATCTTGCTGTAAATTAATCCATCGATTGTATTCTCCTACAATGAGCTAAAGATAATAAGAATTTCAGGGCCATAGAGAATGGCTGATACTTTGTCTTCATTTCTATTTTTTGGGTCCAACTATATGGGGTCATGAATCCTGTTTCTCCGGTTTGTTCTGTTTTCATAGTTTGTGGAGAACGCCCTAGCATGAGCATGAAAAGATAAACTGGGATCCATGTTCATGAGAGTTTAGCAAAAGTTTTAGTGCCTGTTTGGAAGGGCTTTCACATAGCGGCTTCTGGTGTTACATGAGCTAAGAATCCTGGAAAGCCGTTAAGCCATGTTTGGTAAAAAACTGGAAAGCTAAAAATAGGCTTACATGAGCTGAAAATATAGGGATTTCGTATTAAGACATAGAAAATCAACATATTCATGAGAAGAAAATTTAGAAAACCAAAGAAAATTCAGAAAATATAGGGTTTGAGTTCCTATTTTAGTCCTAGGGAAAGAAGAAAAGAATGAGTGGATTGAGCCCCTATTATCTGTGTGTTTGTGTGTCTTGATTGCGCAGAATTTTGCATATTGGTTCATGTTTTGAAGTCTTTGAGGGTTTAGGACAGCAAAGAGTTGAATCAACTCTAACAATTAAGAAATGTGTGTGTGTGTGTGTGTGTGTCTGTCTTGATTGGGCAGAATTTTGCTTTTTGGTTCATGTTTAGTTATAATGTCTATTTTGTTATTATAATCCCAAGAAATAAAGAATACAGGAGTATTTTATAGCATCATGTACAAAAAGGTAAGCAATCAAGTGAGGTGACCCTCCATGAGGGCCTTATCACCTAATCACCTGACAACTATGCTATTTACTATTTTACTAGTCTTACCAGCATATCAGCCATAAGGTTGGCTGTTTGCTTGTCCAATTGAAAGTTATTCTCAGCTTCTCGGTCAGCCTTTTTGCCTCCTTTATTGCATGTATTTATATCCATGGGAGTAATGTTTTCTTTGAACAAACCCCGTTCGACCTTGGAATCCCCTTCTTCCAAAAAAATTGTCGTAGTATATAGATTTCATTGTCAAATTGATTAGGTAATTGCCTTGAAGGAAAGCTGTCTTCTTGGTGTTTCTCTGTGAAATGTTTGGCAAATGATTGTATGGAAGTATGCGTTCTTGAAGTCCAACTTTTACCTTTATACAAGTCCTGATGGATTTCAAATCCTATATTCTTTTCAACATTAATTTGTGAGAAAGTTAGTAGATATTTTAATGTTCTGTCGGAGGTCTGTTGCTTTTTATCATTATATGCGGCTTAGTACATCTTTGTTTAAAGTTGCATTGATATTGCTAGTGGATGTGGAAATGATGCATTCCCAGTTTGTTTTTGTTCACTGTTCCTTTCAGTAATGGCTTTCCCATTCTAAGATGACTATATTAGTTACTGGGTTTTGGTCTAAACTTCTTATTGATCTCTAATTGGTCTCTAGCATTTCATTTATTTATTCCTTCACCGTTTGTTTGCTGGTTCTATTTGGATAAAACATAAGTAGACCTCTTTTTTGAGGCAACCCCATGCCACCGATTATGATTTATTTTGTTGGTGGAAAATTCATTTTGTGAACTGTGCCAAGGCTAAGTTTGGGAGTGCTTAAAAATAAGTGCTTATTTGAATAAACACTTATTTTGGGCTGGAACCACACCAATAAGCACTTATTTGAGAAGCCCAAATTTTGGGCTTATTTTTAAGTGCATATTTCCTTTCTAGCCTATCCCACCACATCATTTTTAAAATACCTATACTAGCCCTGTTTAAAATAAATGCTTTTTCACCAAATGCTCATAAGTGCTTGTTAGAATAAGCACTTATTTTTCAAATAAGCACTTCCAAACTTCGCCTAAATTGAATTGGTGCTTTGTTTGAAGAGTAGCCAGAAAGTCTTAAAGGAGGATCCATTGGTTGTTTAAATACACCAACCATTTTTATTTTCAAATGGTAGAGAAACATAATCAGCTGAACTTTGCAACCAGTCTAAAGGCTATCCAACCTCAATAATAATTCTAGGAACCTCTTTGTTTTTCTTAATTTGAAGTGTAAGGTTGGATTTCATCTTTGTTTTTCTTTCAAGTGTTAAATCGGATTTCATCTTCAGAACTGAAACTTATGTTTCCCCGATCTTAAGCATATTCCAGTTCAAGCACCGTCTTACAAACTTAAGGTTAGTTTGAACCACCAAAATCATCCCTTTCCTTGATATTTTATGTTTGATTCAATAGGAATGTGCTCCATAGGCCGTTCAATTTTGAATTTCAATGGATCTCCTACAACAATGGGATTGATTTCGATTCGGCATTACAAGAATCATTCAGCAAGAGGTGCCAATGAAACTCTTCCTGCACCAAATCATTCAGATAGCGTTGCCAATGGAACACTTTCTGCATCAAAGTTTTCAGTGAGTGATGCCAAGGGAATTCTTTCTGCATCAAAGCTTTCAGCAAGTGATGCCAACGGTACTCCTGCCCCAACGCTTGCAACAAGTGATGCTAACAGAACTCTTTCTGCATCTCTCATGTACGGTATAGCTTCTATTTTCCCACTGGTTAAACGTTGATGGGAGCATTTATTTCTTGCATTGCTAACATGGTGGTAAATTCATTTCTATGCAATTTCAGTTCAGTAGAGGTCGTCTCTGGGTCGGGTCCCCAAGAAAATGCGAGTAGAGTTGCATGATGATATGGAGAACATGTCAAAGAATGTCACTAACACCCTGGTATATCCGAGGTGCTTGGCTGGTTTCAGTAAATAGACTTGAATCTTCATCTCCTTGTAAATTGATGTCTGTGAAAGTTCATTTTGGTGATTTGGGTTTGTAAATATATAAGAGAATCTACTTTTTGAAGCTTTAACGCATGAAATGGTTCTTTCCTTGTACAAAAACTCATGGTGGGGTAATTACTAATTCAGTGGATTTACATTTACGTTCCATATTTCCATTTTTTAGGCTACTGTTGAATTGCAAGCTCTCTCTGTTATGGACGCCTTCCTCGGGAAGACGTACCATTGCCGCCGGCAGCAACAGGCCCCGGGCCCATCGCCAGTAGCAGCAAGGATTCAGTGATGTTCATCCTACCCAGTTCGGCAACAACCTTATCTAGATTAGATTAGCTCATTTTGCTTGTTCTTATCTTATTGTTCTTATCTCTTATCTTATCTTGTTAATAGCTTATCAGATTAGGATTAATTTAGCTTATCTTATCTTGTTAGTAGCTTATCAGATTATGATTAGTTTCTCTTATCCTTAGCAAGATAGAACTGGAAGTCTTTCTATTCAGCAAGAAGACTCCTTTTGATTAGGACTCTTGTAATCTCCTATTTAAGGAGACCCCATTATTGAATGAGATATCAAATTATTCAGTCAAGAGTGAGTTAGGAGAGTTGGTGATCTCTTGGACAAATCACCGAAGGCGCCAAAATAGGTTCATCACGAGCAGGAAGGAACAAGGGAAAACAGGAGGTTTTTCCCGTGGACCGACCCGTGATGAGATCCTATTCCCGGGCCCTCAACAACTTGGTATCAGAGCAARGCGTCATGGGAGATCTGGAGCAGTTACCTTCCAGGGTCCACGACCTCGAGCACCAACTCGTGGAGACCAGCTCTGTAGTTCGTGAGATCAAAGGTGAAGTGCGAGAACTGCGACGACTAATGGAGGTGTTTCTTTCCAGCAGGGAAAGGAACTCTGACGGAGGGACAGCAACTAACGATCGTCGGCTAGATCTGCCAGAGTCTTCCGGCGGACAGCAGTCCATCGGCCATGGAACAGCCATCATTTCCAAGTACAGCAGGCTGGAGTTCCCATTGTACAACGACAACGGAGACCCCCTAGGCTGGCTGTATCGCTGTGAGTAGTTCTTCCGGAATCAACGGACAAATGACCAGRACAAGGTAAGCCTAGCCGCCTTTCATTTAACAGAAGAAGCACARCTTTGGTTTTATCGGTTAGAGCAAGAAGAACCCRRGCTCAGTTGGCCCCAGTTTAAATCCTATTGCCTTCTTCGGTTTGGACCC